GTAAATTAGCACTCTCCTTTCCCCAGCTTTAGCACTCATCCAACCCCATGGAAAGCTTGTGCGAGTTATTTCCATTCAGTGGGGCCTAGATTGTGTCCTTCTTCCAACAATTTGCCAGGAAACCAACATACCACATAGCTACTTCTTTTAAAATACAAGACAGAAAGCAGAGATTCCAGTATAGCCTTTGCAAAATGTAAGAATTCATCCACTAAACTTCATACAATCCTTCCACAGAAAATTTAAAAGACCCACAAAAATCCCACGTTCTGTTCAAAGTACACTACATTCAGCTGCCTACATTATAGAATTTCCCCAACAGGATGAAATGGGAATGTCAACTTTAAATCTATGGTTTTCCCTGGGGGAATTTTTAATATATCTTCTCAAGGTTCAGATCAGCACAATTGTGGAAAACACACTGGAAATAATGGCATACTGTTGAATCATAAAAATTGCACAGACACATTCTTCTAGAAATGAGAAGTGACATTGTTCTGAGTACAAGAACAGAAAACAGGAAACTGCAAGTCTTCTCTGAATTGATTGGTAGTACAGCAGACCATATTAATGGCATTAACTGGGGTATTAATTTGTTAGCTCACTGGCTACAGAATTTGGGTAATTTTTAAATTAATGAGCTCTTTATAAACTTATGTTATGAGTGACAGAGTGTGCTTGGGTTCCAGAAAGACCAGCACCTCAGACCTGAGAAGAAGATGGAGAAATTGCAAGGGAAGATGGGATAGTGTGACTCATACAGAGCTTCAAAAGAAGATGCAATTTGCAGACAGAGACAGTTTCGTTATTAATAAGAGACCACTGTGTGGGCAAAGGTTTGGATTTTTGCAGTTGTTGAGCCCAGACATGAGGGAACTGGAACAAGAACTCCAAATATGACTAAAACTGGAGAAAGCAAGCTTAAGAAAGAGGAAGCAGGCTAGCTGATGTCAAGTATGCGGCTGATGGAACAAGCTGTACACGTGAAAGGAAGCATTCCTGCGTGACAACAGATTGCATCTGCCCAGGAAGCCAGGGGTTGCCCCCCTGTGCTTGTGCCAACCCAGGTTTAGCCCATTAACACAGCCCTCAAGGAGAAAAGACCTAAAAGAAGGATGACCCAGGAAATGACAGGTGGGCTTCCACAGTGCTGCAACGATTGCTCCCATCACCCTCTCTGAGGACTGATCACCCACCAGAGAAGGGTCTTTTGGATGAGTGAGTATCTTGTGTGAATGGGAAGTCCCTTGGTACCTTTTGTCTTATAGCCTATGTCTTAAGTCTCATCAATAAATGTTACATGAATAGTGCTTAACCTAAAATTATTGGTGTATGGTCTGGCTCCCTCTCTCTCCTCTCATGGTCCCTCTCCCCAGGATATAAAGAACAGGGACCCAATTGGGGTAACACTTACTTCAGCTTAATAGCTTTGGTGTCAATGTTCTGAAATTTTAAGCCAATGTAAGTGTAATGTAATGTATTTGTAAAGACTTTTAAAAAATCTGTATGTTATTTTAATAGAGGACCAAAGATCACAGTAATCAAGAAAGTCAAACTCCAATGCTCCAATCTTATGCTTCTGAACAAAATCAACTGGTTATAAGTAACCTACTTCTAAGTAAGCCTGCATAAGACAGCTGTGTAATTCATTTGAACATTTGCTTATAGCTACTGTATATGGATTAGGATCTTCATCTACTACCTCATCACCACCAACAAAAATTAACACTAGAGTCCCATATATCCTAACATACTATAGGAATAAGTTCCAGTGAGTACAGTGGGTCTTACACCTGAGTAGACATGCAGAGGATGTGACTGGAATTGTCATAGACTATAAGCTGAATATGAGCCAACAGCGTGATGTGTATACAAAAAAGGCAAATGTTATGTTAGGCTGCAATAAAAGATGCATAGTCTCCAAATCTCATAAGGTACTAGTTCCCCTCTATTCAACATTGGTTAGTCCTCATCTTGAGTACTGTGTCCAGTTCTGGAAGTTGTACTTCAAGAAGGACACTGACAATTTGGGACAAGTTCAGAGGAGGGCAAAAGGATGATTAGGGGGCTGAAAACCAAGCCCTATGAAGATGAAAGAATTGGGCATGTTTAGTCTTGGGAAGGCAGGCAGTGGAAGACAGGAGGGCCTGGCATGCTCTGGTCCATGGGGTCACAAAGAGTGAGACACGACTTAACAACAAAGTCTTCGGAAAAGAAGATTGAGGGGAGATACAATAGCACTTTTCAAACACCTGAAAGGCTGTCATATAGGAGGGGCAGGATCTGTTCTTGATCATCCCAGAATACAGGACATGCAACAATGGGCTCAAGTTATAGGAAGCTAGATTTCTCTTGATTACCAGGAAAAAAACTTTCTAACTGTTAGAGCAGTACAGCAATGGAATCAATTACCTCGAGAGGTGGAGAGTGCTCCAACACTGGATGATCAAGAGAAATGTAGACAACCACCTGGCACCTGATTTGTATGCCTACATTGAGCAGGAGGTTGGACCTGATGGCCTTATAAGCTCCTTCCCACTTCATTATTCTGTGATTCTATGATAGGCATGTGAAGTCCTGCTGAAATCAATGCAACAAATGTAGCACCAAGAATTGATGATACACTTAAAAGTTCTCTAGATTGCATTCTTTATATGAAGTAATAATGGATAACATGCCATTTTTATACCTGATGCAGATCTAGCAGAAATGAATTTACATGCCAAATTATTTGGCTGGTGTCATTCACCTGGGGCCAAATATGTATGAAAGAAACTGTGACTAATATGTGAATGCATGGGATGGGGGAGGGCAAGTCATCCAGGAGAGGCTGCACACATGTAGTATCACTCAGGTGATCTGCAACACACATGACAAAGTTGTGTAGGTAAGAAAAAAAAGCAGAGAACCTCATTTTGTCTCCTTAAAAACATTGTTTCCCTCCCGGTGTGTTTTCTCTGCTTAGGCTCTACACCCCTGTGGGAGTCTCCAGGATGAGTCCCTTTCCACTGCTGTCATTCTACTATGCAAGCAAGTTTCAGCCTGCTGTCACATACCACTGTGGCAAGTACCTCTGCCTGGGGACCCCACAGCTTGTATAAACCTTTGTTCCTTCATACTTACACCAATGTAACTCAGTGTGCTACTTCCACCTAATGAAATGGAGGTTACAAGTACCAAGCTGGCAAAAATAACGGTGTGCCTTTCTCTGTGCAAAGGAGAGCACCACACACAGAAAGAAAGGAAGTTAGGAACCACACGTAAATTCAAGCTTACAACACAATCTTAGGAGCTGTCATTCGGAAGCAAGCATCTCACAGTGTTCAACAAGGTTACCCAGTAACTGTGTTCAGGACTGCAGCTCTTATACGGTTAGTCCTGCATGCTGCTTCCTTCATGTTCAAGAAAATACTATGGAAGGGATCAGAAGGAAGCTGCATCTACAGACCTCAGTGTCCACTCAGCCTCTAACCCAGACTCCCCATATAATAATGAAGCCCAGACCAAGATCAGCCTTTACAAAGTTTGCAGTAAGCATCTTCTGTGTTACACATCCCTTTGCAAAACACACACACACACACACACACACACACAGAGAGATTGATAAGGAAAGCAATGTTAGTGAGAACATGTGTATTATCTCAAGAGCAAATTCCCTGGGGACAGGTTCCCCACAGCAAGTTGGCATTTACTTACCAAACCCTTTCGCATACCCAGCATGAAGACACAGGGTGTTTCATTTCAGAAAATGCTGAACGCTTCTCTGAGCAGAGGGATTCATTCCTTTTTAATTGAATTCAGAGGAATGAACCCCTGCATTTCATCCCGATTTGTCAAGCCCACCATCCTCAAATACATACGTAGAAGTAAATTCCGGCAAAAGTATTAGGGATGTGCTTTAGAAATATGCCTAAGAAGATGAGCAACTTCCACTGAAGTTTGCAGAAATCAACACACTGCACTCCCCCATAACTTTTCAGTAACCGAAGAAAAGACCAGTTAAGACATGCTGCAGAGCTTTTTCTCTTTTTCTAATCCAACTCTTTGGCCAGTGAGGCCCACCTTTGTGCTGCTCCCATCAACAGGTGACGGTGCTTTTCTATCAAATGTCCTTCTCAAAGTACTGATGGAGAAAAATGCATCTAACATCCATTATAGTGCTCCTATTTTAGGGCTCAACCTGGACTAAGTGTTTCACATCTTCTCGATTTCACTGCGAAAGTTGCATCACTGGCTTAACTCTTTCCTTTAGTCAAGCAATGCTTAACTGCCTAAAAGCATTCTGGGTGTGATCCAACTATTATATTTTTAATCTATGGTGCAGCCCAGTCTCACACAGGTTTTTCTCAAATGTCTCACAGGACTTAAGAACCAAGTACATGTGCAAGGGGGATCACAAGACGAAAAAAAATACCATTTTAACAATACAGGTTCTTCTAAAGGTACACTCACAGAAAAGAAGACTAATTTGTTCATTATCAAAGAACAAACAGCAACAGGAGTAAAAACGGTTCTGGGCAGCGTCTATGGTAAATCTGCTCCTCAGCTACCTCGGACATAACAGTCTAAAGCAACTGGGACAGACGAAGAAGGAAGAAGCCTGCAAAAGGCAGATCTCAGAACATTTCATAGCTTTTCGCGTCCTGCTGGCTGGGGGCTCACAGAAGGTAGTGCACGTATACAGAACAGCGATTTCCAGGGCGAGGAGCTGCGTTCGTCTGTGGGTTGCAAAAAAAAAACGCACAAGGAGAGAGCACGAGTGCCTCGTGGCCCCTTAAATGTCGACGAGCAGCCCGCAAAGCTGGTCTGAAGTCGACGAACTGAATGAAAGAGAAACTTTGGGAAGCGAAGGGGAAAGACGGCTTTAAAGAGAGGAGAGAAAAAGGGTTCGAGCCCGCCGCCGGCCCCCATTCCCACCACGACAAACGAGCCTCGCCGCGCAATGGACGGAGAAAAGAGGAATGGAAGCAGGTAGGGAGCGAGGCGAAGGTTGAACCTACCTGGGTTCAGACTGCTCTGGAAGTAGAAGATCACCAGGAGCAAAGAGCCCAGGCAAGTGGCCAGGACCATCCGCTGCACCCTGCTTTTTCTCATCCTCTCTCTTGCCAGGCATCCCCCGGGGTCAGCGCAGCCAGGAAGTTTGGGGAGGTCGCCAGGGACTGAACGCCGCCCCACTCCTCATGGCCCGGCTGGCCGTGGGGCGGCTGCTCCGGACGGCCACGACCCGGCCTTCTGCCCGCTCAGGCTCGAAGGCATGGCGAGACGCCGACGCCGCAGCAGCAGCAGCAACACCTACACCACCAACAACCACGAGCAGCAGCAGCGACGGGAGATTCTCCCGCCCCCCCGCGGGCAAAGGGAAACCTCTGCCCGGGACTGGGCCGTACTAAGTCAGCGGGCGGGGGGTGCGTGGAAAGGGCCGGGCAGCCGAAGTGCCCTTGGCCGAGGACTTTGCTCTTGCCTCGCCTCCACAGAGATTTGTCAGGTTATGTTTCCGACGGTTGAGGTGGAGAAGCCTTTGTTTACGTGGCTTATTCAGAGAGATTCTGAGGCGGTTTCCCCCTTCGTCTTTCTGCCCCATGGATCCGTCCGGCCAAAAAAAACGGGGAAGTCGCGCGCAAAGGAGCGCCCGGGGGATTCGACGGCGTTTTTCTCGACGGGTCTGGGCAGGCTGCACCAGGTTCGGCGTCTGCTGCCCCAGTTCGTTTGAGCGCCCACGTTCAGCCCCGCGAAAGTGTGAGGCGAGGCGAGAGCATTTCTGAACATGTGAAAAGTTCTTGAGAGGAGAGAGGGTTCCAAGAATAGAGCCAATGCTCAAGGGGACCGTCGAGGGCATTTCCTCGCTTGCTGCCCCCACAGGCCTGCAGCTGCCTCCCACGACTCCTGGGCGGTGCTGCTTCTCGTAGCCCCAGTAAAGGCCGGCCGTGGGTCACCCTGTGTCCGGCCAGCCTTGTGGGAGGTGAGCCCCAGGCTGTAGAATAAAAACAGAGGAAGGCAGTTTAACTGACTGAGGGGTATTACTCCCCATGCTTGTTGGGGGACATCCTCCAGCACTTTTAGAAGGTCCCTTCCCAAGCCTACCTGGAAATACCAGGCATGGAACTTCGCACCCTGTGAGATGCAGAGCCCTCTCTCTTCAAGTACATTCCTTTCTTTCCCACCAGGTTCCACTGGAATTGCTTCCGTGGGACCTGAACCCAGGACTGTACCTGCCTGGCAGTGTAGTCCTGTATCTCTTCACCCTGAAGGAAGTTCAGTGCCACTTAACTCCCAACTACTGTAGGTAAAAAAAATATTTTAAATAAGTGAGTATTTTTAGGATTGCAGCCAAAGCCAGTCCTACCATTTAGCAAGAAGGGAATGGCTTCAGGCATCTATTTCCAGGGTACAAGCCACAATGGCGAGAGGATAAATGTGTTTGTGATATCCTCCTAAGTTGCCCTGATGCCTTCAAGTGTGGTGATGGACACTGTATGGTCACCACCATTGAGCAATATTGATTTGCCAACCTGGCTGATTTCTCTATGTGGTATGAGGAGAGGCCACAGGCTTACAACAAGGGTGCTTGGGAAAGTGGTGATTGCAGCCATACTAGAAGCAGAGGAAAAGCAGGGGGATACAAATGGAAATACTGTACAAATTGCTGTGACATTGACTCATCACCCAAGAAAATGAGGTAAGGTGACTGTGCAGTAAAAGCCTCATCTGGAAGTAAATTCTTTGGAACAGGGTGGGATTTTCATCTGACTTAAATAGGCTTTTTGTATCCACCATTTCTCTGACACACAGTAAGCAAGATTATATTGGATGCCACATTTCACTCTTGGAGAACAATTGCTACTCTATCTATTGTTGGATTTAGGTGGCGAAAGCCAATCAGCAAAGACCTTTTGCAATCAAAAGAGAGAAAAAGATGACAGGGATTCAGTCTGGTGGCAGAAAGATAAGGCTGGGACACTACTGTTAGGCTACATACTTGGAAGACAGAAAATAAGGAAAGAGAAGAAACGACGGATAGTTTTCTCTGTTTTGGTTTGGTTTGTTGGAACTTTTGAGGATACCTGGAAAAATCACTCAGCAGCACTGAGGATACTAAATGGACTCACGGATTTTAGATAGCAATCAATCTGGACTGCAACCAGTAATAACATTTGCTTGCAAAACTCACCAGATAACAATAATTTGAACTTAATTCATCTTTGATTGGCTTTTTATTACCTGGTGAGTTAAACAAAATTTATCCCAGCTTTGGGATCAGGATGGCTTAAGTTTTTGTGTGGCCTTTCTCTCCGACCGACCCTCCCTCCCCCCAAGAGGAAGCTTGGTTTCCAACACAGGCAATATTAGTGGGGGAAAGGGGTACTTTCAGGGGCTACCTCCTGTTCTCGAGGCTGAGTGGAAAATTCCAATCACATGGTACCAGAGATGAAATATTTAAACACACTCACTAGAACTGGTTGAAGCCAGCTCTGTGTTCATATTAAGAAGTATACCTGGCAGATGTCTGCCATGACAATTTTGGGACATTCATTTTTAATTTTTTCCACACCTTCCACAAGACCACACATACTCTGTTGTTGTTTTTTCAATCAGAAAGAGTCCAACCAGCCTGCCCTTTTTATTTGCCTCCACCACTATTATTCATTCATTCAACCTTTATAGTGCCCAATTAGTGTGAAGCACAACTCATGGCAATTAATCAAATGAATACAAGTAATATAATGCAACAAACTATAAAGTAGATTAAATCAAAGACAACATAAAGGACACCAAAAAAAATTGATGAACATCAAGAGGGAAGATGGGTGGGCAAGTACAATATGGCAGCCATTCATGAGATAATGCCTCTTTGGTGAAGAGCATAGTCTAACAAATCTGTTAAAGGTTTGGAGGAGAAGGGAGGCAGCTGTCTCAAGGCTCATAGTCCCTCGTGCATGTGGACTTGTGCTCTTTTGTACTTCTTTAATATTTATAATCCCTAATGTGGACTAGAAACCAACATTGTCTTCTTTTAGTTACTTATTAGTGCAGTCACAGATCAACTCAGGACCGAGGTAATAGGCATCCTTCAGTCTCGAGAGACTATGGTAACATGCTGTGAATCGAGGAGTGTCCTCTCCAGAGCATGAAGCCTGGGTAAAGTAATATGGAGGATAGGCTGTTACCCAAGCAGCAGATCCCCCCTCTCCACATTGCTGAAATGGTCCAATGGAAAGGCAAGAGCCAATACAACTGGTTCCAGCGATGTCGCAGGAGTTGGCAGAACGACACGAACTGCCTCTGGGACTCCGGCTCCAGATTTTGCCTCTAGGTTAACTCCAGAAGCCTTTTCCATCAGTGGATATAGCCACAAGGCAGTGGTATTTCACAAGATTTGAATATAAATAACAAGGTTTGAAATCAGAGTTTTCCTTTTCCTAGATGGGCTGCCTTACATGGCTTACAAGCCCTACCTACCCGGCCAGGACCCAGATCAGACTGCCTCTAAAAGAAACTTTTAGCTTTTTTTTTCATTTATCCCTCTTTTCTGATTCAGGATGGGGGAAGGAAGGGATAATGAGTGAATTGTGGTTTTAAGTCCTCAAACATCTCAGCAGGAGAAGCATGCAGTTTAAATTCTCTATTCCTCTAATGCACTGTGTGCATGTTGATTTTATGTCCACAGAAATTAATTGGAAACAAGACTGTTTATTGCCTAAATTTCCTAAGAAACTGTGACCAAAATCATGTTGTGAAATACCATTCACAAAAAGGGGAACCATGCAAGTGGCTACTGTAGTTTTCTGACTGTCATTTGAGTGATCAAGTGCATAAACCAGCTATGTCTGAGCACAAAATAGGTAGCTAAAACAATTGTGTGGAACAATTCTGCAGTTTCCCTTTTATACTACATAATTACAGTAGGTGTCTGTCCAAGAGTGATTAACAAGAATATCCTCACAGGGAAAGGTGCATAATGTTAGAAAAGTAATGGTTCCTATTGAGATGCATCCAATAGAGATCTGTGGAAAGTTATGCATGTGTTTCATAATGGTCTTCAATGCATCTAACTAAGATCAAATGTACAGTGCTTACACGAGGTTGATATTCTTGATGGAACTATTGCTATAAATATATGTACTGGTCTTATAATTTTGTAAAACATGCTGAAATAGTTTTGGGGGCTGCTGCAACAAAAATTATAATAGAGAGGCCTCTAAATGGGTGCCCTACCTCTGAAATGTTTTGGAATTCAGCTCTTGTTCACTTCTTGCCTGGCTGAGGATGGTGGATATAATTCTCCAGCACATTTGGGGGACACTCTTTCTGGGGGGAAAGATTACTAGTGAAATGAAAGTTGGCACTTGGTCCATTAGTTTTCTCGGGTGAATTGCTCTGCTTCTAAATCCAGAAGCTGGACCTTACATGCACAATGGCTGTGGGTGTTTTTTTTTTAAGCTTGGTTCTTAGTGGTGTACTTATTCCTCCCCAGATCAGACTCTAGACATTTCCAAACCCTCAGATCAGTTTCAGACACATTGCTTCCTGTCCCACCACCCCCAAGATTTTATGGGGACCTTTTGGTGGCAGTTCCAAAGTAAGCAGTTCCCCTTTTCTACCTGATTAACGGCAGGAGACGAAATGTCTTTAAGCAAACATTAGTATCTTCAGGAGGGCAGGGGTGTATTACAACTTTGATAAGTCCAATAGGACTATGAAACATACGCAAAACATTCCACGTCATGTCCGATCTGGCTGGTGCAGTCGTTTCCTTTAACACGGCGACATCCCAAATCTCTCTCGATCGGTTGGCTTCCTCAAAGGGTTTCTCTGCACTGTGCAAATGGTCCTACAGCATGGGGGACGTGCCCAATCTCCTTTGCGCGTGGTCCTCCAATGGGAATAGGATCTGGACACACCACCTTTTTTCCAAGGACCCTTCCCCCTCAGGTAGACATACACCATCCATTCCATAGGATCCAATTCTCCTAACGGGACTTCTATTCCTGTTGGTACTCGTCCCGGCATAAGTCCTCCCCCTCTCTCGCTATCCTTTTCCTCCCACTCTTCAATTACTATAAAGCCCTCTCCCATTGGTTGTTCTGCTCCCGCCTGCCTCCTCCAAAGTCAGATTTTGAATCATGGTCTGTACAGTATTTGGCACTTTGTTGACTCCTTCCACCTGAGATGATGGAGGGGACAGCTCACTTTCAGGTTTAACCGTCTTAATCAGTTGCTCTTCACTCCAGCATTTTGTTCCTGAGGATGTTTGTCAGGTTTATATGTTATTTATATGTCTCTAATCAGTAGAAGCTTAGCAAAAAAAAAAAAAAAAAGTACAGTATACTTTTTACCAGCCACTTAAAGACCAATAAGCTCCTTAGTAAGGTAGTTCTACAACACAGACGCTGCTACAGAGAGGGACCCATCTCTAGTTTTTACCAACCTCACCTCTTCAGGTGGTTAGACATGGAACAGGATTTTAGTGAGAAATGTAAGGTCCAAGCAGGAACATATAGGAGTAGGAAGTTTTCCTGGTCTCAAATCATTTAGGGTAGCAGAATGCAAAGTGTGACCCAATAATGTTGTTGGACTACAACTTCTAATATTCCTCACCATTGGCTAGAGTTGATGGGAACTGCAGTCCAATAAATATCTGGAGACCACACTTTGACTATTCCTCATTTAGAGCTTTATACGCAAGAACTTGCACCTTAAATTGGCCTTGGGAACAAGAAGAAAGCCAGTGAAGTCATTTCAAGACAGATGTTGTTTCATCTATGTCAGAAAAATGTGTTCTGTACTAGCTATAGTTTTAAAATACTTGTTTTTACAGTAAACCAAATGTGAAGTATGTAAGGCATGGTTCATTACGCTTAGATCT